ACCGGGCCCAGTAATTGAACAAGAGGCATAACTAGTGCGTTATACACAATTAGTATAGCGTACATATCTAGGCCTACAACAATCTCGTTCCCCAAGCATGCCCGTTCGCAGGTTAATGGTGGGCATAGCTCTGGAGAAATCGAATTGATTCACGTTGAATTTCCAACGTGAGTTCTACGCATGCTCGGCAATTGTTGCAAAATATGAACAAAGTATTTAGTATTTCTCCTCGAGAATTTGATAGGGCCTATTGTTTACACTGAAATTGATAGAGGTCCAAGATTTGAACCGTAAGGTACGCCACAACGAATTGTTTCAATATCAGATTTAGAGTATTTAACATGCTTTCTTTGATCCAAATATGATAATTGAAACCATTTGAACGCGGTATGGCCGCGTATCCCATAAGCTTGTAGTTTTACCAATAAATTATAATCTGATGATCAATCGTACCAATTAAACGCTTTTTTCAAGTCTAAGAATATAACCCCATTAATTTGACCCTGGTCCACTGATTTCAACCACATTTCAGTAGATTGTAGTAACGAGGTTTCGGTTGAGTGATTTTGACGTGAACTTGATTTATTTTTTACAATATACCCTTTCGAGATAATTACGTCACAACTACACCGTTTTCAACTTAGGATCACCTTAAATAGTAAGGATTTCAAGTTTTTTCTCATGGGCTATTCACAGAGAAGCAGAACACATGGTCAGAAATCACGGACAAAATGGCGGCTAATTTAATTTCTTATGCGCACAACGAACTTATTTTACGAAACTAAGATGGCGGATATTACAGACAATATAAAATCGATGTGCACAATGAAATATAGAATGATTTGCATGTTCCACACGTCTACAAATAGTATTACATACCTGAAAATATAGCTCTCGAGGGTTTTGACGTCTCACGATTTGCCATTAGCCGGCCCGAGTAAACTCGATTCAAAACAATTCCACATAATATAAGCTTCTATTAAATTCAGCAAATCCTCCCTACTCGCTCACATTTAATCCGCTATAGCGCTGTCGAAAACGTTTGCCGACAACTTCCACACGTCTACATTTCTTGTACGATGTTCGATCTGCCATTGCGTATAAGTTTTAAAACACCAGAGATTTTGGCTAAGCGGCCCCAACACTTTGAAATTGTCTGTTTTGAGGCAAAATAAAACCTGAAATTCCTGCCATTGCGAATGGTTTAGGGCAGAAAAAACCTCAAAATGTTGCCAAATACAACGCAGAAAATGCCTTATTGCTTCGCCATTTTATAATCATTATAAGGTGCAGCCGCTGACTAACAACTGCGAGGTAAAAGGCTTCAAAACAAAAGAAATTGCGGGAAATGCAAATATATTCAAATTTGTTTGGTCTTCTAAAGTTTAGAATGTTGTATTATCTTCGTTATAGTTTTAAGAAATTCATTCCTACAGTCTTTCACTTATATAATCATCTACCCCTGGATCAAATTTATATTTAACTCTTTGTAAAAAGACATTGTCGAATGTATTTATAAAGTTTGTTTATAGTAGATTTGAAGTCGCGCATATGTCACGCGCGCACGTAGGAACAGTTTCTGCGCCCACAATTAAAACCGCTGACTGTCCATGTGATCTTTCTTCAACACATGCATATGAAAAGAATTCTTTATTTTGACCAATAAATGTGGAAATAAACATTCATACGAAAAAGAGGCTCTAGATCATGACCTGGAGTCTTGTTTTCGTGTTAATGCTTATTTACATATTTATTGATCAAAATCCAAAATTTTTTCGCGCATGTGTTGAAGAAGGATGTTCTGCTTCTCTGTGAATAGCCCAGGAGAAAAAAACTTGAAATCCTTACCATTTAAGGTGGTCCTAAGTTGAAAACAGTGTAGTTGTGAAGTAATTATCGAAAAAGTGTATTATATTGTTATTACCAAGAAGGTATTTAATTGTCTACCGACTAATTTCTGAAATATTTGGCGATATTCGAAATAACTGATATCGGATTCTGACTAGTGTTATATATTGGAGTTACTTTGGCAAATTTCCAATCATCTGGAAATATTTCTTTCCTAAGAGATAGGCTAAACACTTCTAGAAGTGATTCAGTTATTGTATCGCCTGCCTGCTTTATTAGCTTAGTTGAGATGTTATCTAGGCCTGTAGATTTTCAATTTGCATATTTTGTATTTCTCCTTTCAGATCATAACTTGATATGCTATGAAAGTGAAATACATTTGTGACATGATTTATATATGACAAAGGATCAGGACTACTGCCATTGTCAGCAATGTTATTTGCTAATTTGAGACCGATAGAAGTGAAGAATTTATTTTTAAACTCGTCTACTATATACTCCTTTATCTTGCGTTACATTTTTTCCATGGTCGACACTAAGTTCATTAACAACTGTGGGTTTGGATTTCCTAATTTTCCTGTTAAGCAGATTATTTAATGTATTCCAACCTTCTTTCCTAGTTTTACTGTTTTGTAGTTTCATGTTGTAAAATTAAACCGTATAGTTGCTTTGATTCCTTTGTTAAGTTCATTTCTACAACATTTATATATAAGCTTCGTGGTAATTAGAGGAGTAAATAAATTATTTAAATAAGGTTTTTTATAACAGTGCTCATGTACTCTTGACTTTACGAATCCGAAGTGGAGCATGCATATTTTGCAATATCAAGGAAAATAGTTTTCCATACCCCACTCATGATTTGGGTCGGCATAATTATAGAGGTTGTATAGTGTCCTTGAAATGCCATTTTTAAGTCGTATTAAAATGCAGAGGAATCATAGCCTTAAACTGCCTTATTTCCACAATTTTCGGTTCAGTCCTTGGTATTCCTACTTTGCGACAAATGTACGCTAAACTATTTAACAATTAGACAACGAGGCCGAGTTGTCTTTGAGCGAATAGTCAACGAGGCGAAGCCGAGTTGACTATTTGCTCATAGACAACGAGGCCGAGTTGTCTAATTGTTTTAGTATAAACTTTAACATTAATTTACAAATAGGCTGCAAACACAATACAAAAATACACAAAAAAAATATAAAACCATTAAAGGTAAACAAATATTTTAGTTTTTGTTCGCGTGAAATGTTTTACAAAATGTCAAAATTCAGTTTTAATTTTAAAATTTCATTGAGTGTATGTTATTTTGTCTATTTTCTTACCCATAAAAATTGCCATTCTATATTTTTGTTGCTTTTTTCGGGGGTTTTTAGTACAGAATTGTTCAACAAGTCGTCCAAAAAATCATCAGACACTTCGGCAAAAGTGCAAAACACGAATTTTCCGCCATTTTGAATTTTCTATTAGAAGGCTATCACTAATAGCCTACTAGTAGCGTAGCCAATCAGAAGGCACGATATGTGATAGCCTACTAGTAGGTTTATACTAAAATCGCTTAGTCCTAAATGTATCACTCCAGAGTCTATCATTTTGGTATCGCTATAGCTTTAGCCATTATTATGTCAATTAATGTTTTAGATGTTGGCGTTATTTTCTAGTCGGACTTGCAAATTTTGGCCATCATATCGCAATTTAGGTCGCCAGTGAAGATAAGATCAATATTTGTATCATCTAGTTTTCGCAGTAAACGTTTCGAAGTCGTTTAATAGTGCTATATTAACAGAATTTGGTGGGCGATACCATGTAACAATTAAGATTGGTTTTGACTGAGGTTTTTGAATTTCGAGACAAATATAGATTCTAAGTTGTCTGGGATGATTTCGATATGATTTTTATGTCTAATGATACTTATTATATAGATTACTACACCGCCACAATTTCGAACTCGGTCTCGTCTTACAATATCATAACCTGGTATTTTAATAATATTTAACAATTATTCGCCGAAGGCGAGGTGATTATCGGGGAATATTCGCCGAGACGAAGTCGAGGTGAATATTCCCCGATAATCACCGAGCCTGCATGAGGCGAATAATTGTTTTAGTATTTTTACACAAGCTTTTGTGTTTTTTGGGACTGAATTTATTTTAATTTCGCTTATTTCTTTGTCAGTAAACTTCCACAAAACAGGTAGCCGCCATTTTGAAAATTTCTGTTTTGTTATATTCACCTGTAGGTGAATATAACAGCTTGTCAAATTTGACCAATCAACGTGTAGGATTTGTTATGTTCACTTGTGCAAAAATACTAATGTCGTTTATCGTATTCAGACAACAATAAATTAATCGGTATATAACTATATTTAGTATATTTTTGCACAAGTGAACATAACAAATCCTACAAGTTGATTGGTCAAATTTGACGTATTAAGCCGTTATAATTATTCACCTACAGGTGAATATAACAAAACCGAAATTTTCAAAATGGCGGCTAGCTGTTTTGTGAAAGTTACTGATAAAGAAATAAGCGAAATTAAAATATATATTCAATCCCAAAAACACAAAAGACTTGTGCAAAATACTAAAACAATTATTCGCCTCAGGCTCGGTGATTATCGGGGAATATTCACCTCGACTTCGTCTCGGCGAAATTCCCCGATAATCACCTCGACTTCGGCGAATAATTGTTAAATACAAGCAAAAGGTTCAACAATTTGCGTCAATCATTGCTGATCAATATACTAGCTCATATATATATACTGTTGGTATAGACACTGTACTGTTAAACACTGTTTAGCTTAGGTAACAGTAGCAATTGATACACCAGGCGGAAATCTTAGTTTAAAGATAAAGAGCAAAGCCCAGCAAATAACTTTAAAACCAAACATAATAAAAGTAAAAATTTAATTAGCTAACGTTTCGTTGTTTACAATACAACATCTTCAGAGCAATCTAAATGAATTTACAGGGTATGGTATATATATTTACAAAATAATGGTTTACTATTACAAAAACGGTTACAAAATTTGAAAGAACAAATGAATAGAAAGAAAGGAAAACAACTTATCAGTAACAAGTTAATAAGTAAAGATTAATGTTAAGTGCATGGTTAGTATAGTTAAGGTTAATATTACATAACTAAAATAACTCAAGAGGGGTAGATCTAATATTAGCATTAATGACAGGGTTAATTTGAGAAATTAATAGGCTTTCACGGATAAGAAGATCCCACTCAGAAGTGCCTGATGATAGAATTTTGAAATCGGAAGCGGAGACTGGGTGTTTGTGCATGTGTTTGTGAGCGAGTATACCAGACATGGTTGAGATAGAGCGTTCTTTTCCAGTCAAAGTCGAGACTCCCATATGCTCTGAGATACGTGTGTGAATGTGTCGGCGTGTTTGGCCAACATACAAATATCTACCCCTCTTGAGTTATTTTAGTTATGTAATATTAACCTTAACTATACTAACCATGCACTTGACTTATCTTTACTTATTAACTTGTTACTGATAAGTTGTTTTCCTTTCTTTCTATTCATTTGTTCTTTCAAATTTTGTAACCGTTTTTGTTAGCCTATAGTAAACCATTATTTTGTAAATATATATACCATACCCTGTAAATTCATTTAGATTGCTCTGAAGATGTTGTATTGTAAACAACGAAACGTTAGCTAATTAAATTTTTACTTTTATTATGTTTGGTTTTAAAGTTATTTGCTGGGCTTTGCTCTTTATCTTTAGGTAACAGTAGTATAAAGTTTGTAAATTCTTTACAGAATGCACTGTAATGGCTCACAATTGTGACAAACAATAAAACGTCACTATATCTTATTTAACACTATGATAAACGAAATCCAACACCAACCCCGTTAACTCATAATAACGAAATCGAACTGCAACTTTCCTTGGGAGTTCGAGTTAGCGAGGTTCTACTGTATTTTCTGTTTTGTTACGTTACAACATTTATCATTCAACATACCAATGTATTGACCTGGTCCAGCCCAATCAGCCACACGGTTGCTGCATCTACCGCTATATAATCCTTTACCATAATGGTCTGAAGAGTATTGAGTAAGCAATCCACCTTTACATAGCCAACCATTTAGAGAGTTCGGTACGATACTTTGTTCAAAACTTGGATTTCGTAATATATTTTCAGAAGACGGTTGATCAGGAGCAATATCTATAATAAAGCCCGTCCATAAAAAAATAAGTACATTCGCTTGTCTAAATTTATGTTCAGTTAAAAAATTAAGTCTTGACTGAAATAGATATATATATATATATATATATATATATATATATATATATATATATATATATATATATATATATATATATATATATATATATATATATATAATGAGAATCGATACGATAACGAACATTGTATAGTACATATACACATATACTAAAACTGTCTGTACCAGTCAGTGTGGGTAGTAACAATGTGAAATTGCTGTGCTGAGTGGTTGTATTACTACCTGAAATAAAAAAGCAGAAACTCGACGTTTCGAGCGAAAGCCCTTCGTCAAGGGCTCGAAACGTCAAGTTTCTGCTTGTTTATTTCAGGTAGTATTACTAGAAAATACATGCGTGGAGAAACCCTCGCCTTGCTGACAACACCATTGTATTTTCCGAACATGAAGTATCTAAAGTAGTTTTTATAATTTTTTAAGAATATTCTTACAAATGAAAAATCGCCTAAAAATATCACTTTTAATTACAAAATTATCAATTTACCAACATATATATGTTAGGTATGATATTATACGTAATATAAGCTTCAATTTAAAGTAAAATTCAACAACAAACGCTTCGCAAAACGCTTTAAAGAGTTCTTTATAAAACTAAACTGCCTTTAATTAAATGACTTTATCGATAAACTTTGAGTTTGCAATAAAATGATTTCAAATTCTCACATGCAAATAACTTTGCTTTCTTTTTTATTTATTTAAAAAATTCAATATAATAAAAAAGGGAATCAATATTAAATATACACTGAAATTATATGCTGTCTTTTAGTTGTTTCATATACGTAAAGGCCGTCGGGTTTTTAAGCAATTATAAAATCAATATTTAAAACAAACATACCTTCGTTAACGTCGGCTCCCTTCTTTTAGCCGGTTCTTTCGCCCTTTCTTTCTTGAAATTTACAAAATCTTGCGAAAATGCGAGCAAGAATGAAATAAATTTGCAAGAAATTTATCAATCATCAAATCAAGAAATGTTTGCTATTTCACTGTCGTCATGCAGTCGTGATAATGCAAACTTTAAATTGGACCAATCACAGTGTTCGCTATTCATGACAGTCCGCCATATTTTTGAGATCAGTGAGGATGACCACCCACGCACAGTGAGCCACGCCGGCGATCATTGGTGAACTTTAGACTTCGCTAATGCTTTCGTTTCCTCGGGTGTAAATAGCCGGGGGAATTAGTACCGTCGGCTAGGGGATAACCACTCAGCGCAGTTTATACAAATATGCCTTGCTTTTTATATCCATACTACAATAGTGTTTCCTATTACCACTGATAGCATTTAGTAAATTCAACATGAATCAACCCTTAATTTCACAAAAGCTATATAACCGCAGTACAAAACTGCAAAAAAAATGCATTTTTAATATTTTTGTATAATATTACCGTTATACGGTGATTGATATAGCACGTAAAACAATCCAGGCTTTATCGTCTATTGGCGATTAGATCGTCTACACGTGAAGACCAGGAACATTGAGGTAAACAGAATAATCAAGTTAACGTTGTTTAATGCGTGTAAAGGATGAATAATACTATTTCGGAATGACGTTCACTTGAGCAAGTTTTTTATGAAAAACTTCCGCAACTATTTCGCAACTTACAACTTTTCAAAATAAATCTCATACAATCAATTTATGGGTTATTTTACAGGGTAGCAATGCGAAATATCAAAATAATTTACCGTCAAACAAATTGAGTTCATCAATTTCCTCGCCAATTGTTTCAGGTTTCCATGATTTACCCGTATTTATTAACCAAGACTTAACCAGATCATTCAGAGTTATACTCGTTTGCATGTTTTCATTCGAGGTTGCTGCTGGGCTACTCCCTACTTGAGGTGGGACGTTTCCATAACCAGCTTGCTGTGTTGGTGCATACGTATAACTGGGTCGATGAAATTGATTTGATATTGGATTATTGGCACGGTAGATGCTCCCTTCTCGCAGCATATCAAAATTATCAGGAAAATATTTTTCTTGGTTTTGTACAGAGTAGTCGACAGGTGGATTGGTGTTTAAGTTACCTGGTGATGAATTTTCAAGGTAATATTCCTTTGCGAGATTTTCAGCCATCTTATCGTTATTGATATCTTTTGAAGATTCTAGGAGTTGTTCACCTGTGTTGGATAACTCATCGCTGTTAAGTTCATCTGAAAGTGCACCTGATTATACAAATATAAACATAATGAGTGATTCATGGTACAGGTAATTTAGGTATCTATAATATGCATAATTAAGTATAAGCATATAAACGATCATTTATTATATAGGCCAGGGGCCGGTTGTTCAAAAGCCGATTAGGTTAACCCTAGGTTTACTTAAAATTCAAAGCAAACTTCCCAACAGCTTGTTTATAAATTTGGAAATATTTCGTTAGAAATCTTATCTGGATCAGTAGGAGTTGTCTTCTCTGAAGTTTTGAAATAAACAGACGTGCAGAAATACATAAACTAAAACAGCGGGTTAAATTGTAACCACAGGTTAGCGCTAATCCAGCTTTAAACAACCCCCTCCAAGTGTCAAAGTTTATGTATTATTTTAATTCTTGTATCACAGACTTATTAATACTCGTCTCGGCCTTGATAAAATTGCGCGGACTTGAAATGTAGAGCATTGGTTGATTTTCTCTGCAGACAATTTAAGCGAGCGAACATATGACAACACTCGAATATACATTATCAGAATCTGCGAATTGATCTTGAATTGAAAAATCTTCTGGTTCTGGTGTACCTTGGGAGGCAAAGCGGCGGCTAGGATCTGTAACAACCAGTCAAACACTTCAACTTTGGCACTCAGTTGGGGTAGGGATAAAACGCTGTAACCGAATCGCGGAAACTGAAAGCGGAAACTGAAATGGGGATAAAACGCTGAAATGGGGATAAAACACTGAAATGGGGATAAAACACTGAAATGCAGATAAAACGCTGAAATGGGGATAAAACGCTGAAACGTTTCAATTCGAGTGAGCGAGATTCAAAGTAATTCCGACCCAACTACGTGGAGACACTTACCTGGAGAATACAATGTTGCCGACGAGGTGTCTCGTGGGATTCCTGTGCAAAGTCTGACAAAGAGATGGCAACGAGGTCCAGAATTTCTTCGATTACCTGAACATGAATGGCCAGCGGATTCATCAACTGTTGAGAACGGTGAAGTTGAACAGGAAATTCGAAAGAGTCAGAAAGTGTGTACAGTGAAGGAAACTATGGCTTCCCCTATCGATTGTACGAGATTTTCGAACTGGAGACGACTGGTGCGAGTAACAGCGTATGTCTTCAGATTCTACTGGAATTTGAAAGCTCGTGTGAAAAAAAGAAAAGCAGAAAACCCAGATAACCAAAGAAGTAGTTGTTTGTCCGTACAAGAGCTAGAAGAGTCAGAAACCTATTGGATAAAGCAAAACCAGAAAAACCTGCAAAACAGTCTTGCGAAGGGACAATTGCAAAAGCTGGATCCGATTACCGACTCGAAAGATGTTATCAGAGTTGGAGGTACAGTTGATAAAACCATTGCGACTTACGATACCAGACATCCAGTGTTATTGTCTAGGGATCACTGGATATCTAAACTGATTACTCGTCAAGCCCACCAATATGGACACTCTGGAGTAGCCGCCACTGTAGCAAAGATTCGACGAAAATATTGGATACTCAGAGCCCATAACCTTGCTAAATCAGTCAAGTACGAATGCGTGTTCTGCAAGAAAATGCAAGCAAAGTGTGAAACCCAGAAAATGGCTGACCTTCCTGGAATTCGTCTTGTATCATATACTAATAGCGCGTGTGATTATTTTGGTCCTTATCACGTCAAGGTTGGACGAAACAAAAGTACGAAGCATTACGGTGTCGTATTTACTTGTTTGAACACAAGAGCTGTTCACTTAGAACTAGCAGTTGACTATTCAGCTATGGAATTTATACAAGTCTTGCGTCGATTTTTTGCAATTCGTGGAAGACCAGCGTTGATTCCAAGTGACAATGGGACACAGTTAGTAGGGGCTGAAAGAGAATTAAGGGAGATGATCGCAGGATGGGATAAAGAGAAGTTAAGGGAGTTTGCAGCAGAAAAAGGAATTAAATGGCAATTTGTTACACCTACAGCACCACACCAGAATGGTTGTGCAGAGTCCATGGTTAAAAGTTGTAAATGAGCACTAAAGAAGGCAGTTGGAGAACAGAAGCTAAAACCGTTTGAACTTTACACCTGTTTATTAGAGATCGCAAACCTGGTAAACCAACGACCAATTGGCCGCGTTACAACTGATCCAAACGAAGGTTCGTATATTTGTCCTAATGATATTCTGCTTGGACGTGCGTCGTCGAAAGTACCACAAGGACCATTCAAGGAGACTCGAGATCCACGTAAACGTGTTGAGTTTGTTCAGAGAATAGTAGATGATTTTTGGAAACATTGGCAAAGAGATGTTTTTCCAGCGTTAGTTCCCCGTAAAAAGTGGAATGCAGATAGAAGAAACGTTCGTGTCGACGATGTTGTAGTGATTGAAAACTCGAATGCAGTGCGAGGAAGCTGGACAATTGGCAAAGTTATAAACGTGTTTCCTGGTAAAGACAGTAAGGTTCGAAACATCAGAGTGAAGACATGTTCTGGAGAATATGAGAGACCTGTAAGTAGAATTGCTGTTATTTATACAGAAGAAGGTTACAAAGAGAACTATAACTAGCTATGCTATTTAGTAGCATGAGAACTACATTCTCATCGGGGCGGAGAGTGTATTGATATTTTGTTGACGTTAGATAAAATAAGTAATATTAATCTCTAAGTTCATTAGTTAATAATAGACAGTGGATATGATTGACAGTTTGCATGTTTCACGAGTCGAAAACAACATGAGGACAAGGCGTGTGCTTAGGAAAACATACGAAGCAAATGTAGATTAAAATGTGTTAAACCGCCAAGAAGTAAGTTCATATTTGTGTATTAGAGTATGTATAGTGTAGAATTAGAAGTAATTTATAGTTGTAATTCAATTTATAGATCGAATAAAAACAGTGTAAACAATATACGATTTGACGGGCAATGTATTCATTTCATCGGACCATCCCCCATTTCAGCGTTTTATCCCCATTTCATCGTTTTATCCCCATTTCAGCGTTTTATCCCCATTTCAGCGTTTTATCCCCATTTCAGTTTCAGCGTTTTATCCCTATACCAACTCAGTTGTCCTTGCTCAGGAGACTCTAACCATTAGACTGTACTCTAACTTGCCCTCTTGCCCCAATTGCCTCGTTTCCAGTTGTTTGTTCCATCGTGTTTCGTATATAAGGGTTGGTTTGTCATTGGGCTTAAGATCCAGGAGAAACATTTTCCTGCACGAAACACGCGGATACAGTAACCACCATGTCTGCCCGCCATACTAAAATAGACAAATATGGAAACGAGGCAACTGGGACAAAAGTGCATTAAACAGTAAAATCCCCTGCTTTTACCGAACGGCGCCCAAAGTGCAGTCACGTACGCCAAAGCATAATCATGGAGTGTTGCTCACCAATCACACTATATACATAAGCATTATCTGTTCTATCCCGAATGATATCACAGTTTTGAATCATTGATGATTGATAATTCGTGTACAAATGACTAGCATGTGCACCCGTTATACAAGAAACCTTCTTCCCTCTATCATTATAGTTCATTAAAAACACTGAATATCCAAAATCTGTCACAAACTTTGAACATTTCTGTATCAATTGGGTAGGTTGTTTAAATCTTGATTGGAAGGTTCCTTTATTAGAAAACTGTAGGGATAAAAGATGTGATAAGTCATCATGAGTAAAATTTAGTTGATCTTTCCAGCATCCAATCGTTACATAACCAGGTACGGATCCAGCTTGGTTCCCTGAGATGTAACCTAAAGTAACAAGATTTAAGATTTCGTCAAGTCAAACTACACTGCGATATGACTATTTTTGCAGTAATCTGTCACTTCTGTTTCGTACGTGGACTCGTATGTCGTAATGTTTCATAAATAATTGTTACAAATATAAGCTTGACATTGACCTATGACCGATTGACATTGACCTTTACAATTACGGGGCAAGCTTGTATTTTAAAACATGCATTTTGTGGTTTCCAAATGGGGCGTTGTGAAAACCCGGAATGCCGGAATATCACGGAATATGGCGGAATATCACGGAATATGGCGGAATATCACGGAATATCACGACATTTTCCCGGAATATACCGGAACATCACAATATTTTCCGATGGTAGCCATGCAGTAGCCATGCGACTGTTTATAAACATGGACGTCTGACAACATATTTTATTACAAAATGATGGATCTTTCTCATTTTGACGGTAAGTAACAAACAATAACTCTATACTGGAAGTTTTATATGTTGTTTATATCATTATTACGAGTTTTCACCAAATTTTTGAATCAATGATTAATTCCTCCTGATTTACAGCGTCTTGAAAAACAAAAGTACTGACGTCAGCATTATTTTCGGACGCCTTCAGAACTGTGTTATAAATAAAATTTAGTTAAAATTGAACATTTTATACCACCAAGCATTTATCCTAGCCTCCTCCGCAGGCATCTCGTGGTACTTACCTAAAATAACTAAAGAGATGCCTGCGGAGGAGGCTACATTTATCCAAAAATCAAATGCTAAAATAAAGGCAACTTTGAGCCAGTTGTTTAATTTAATCAGGTAAGAACCTTCACACTTGCAATTTTTACTGCGATTTTAGGTGCAATTTTCTTCTTCTGATGCATTTGAACGAGTGGATAAGTTATGAATGTTCAGAAGAGACTACATATACTCCGAACATTCGTAACTCATCTACTTGTTCACATGCATTAGGAGGAAATTGCAGTAGAAATCGCAGCAAAAATTGCAAGTGTAAACGGGCCTTTATAACACAGTACTGAAGGCGTTCGAAATAATGCTGACGTCAGCACTTTTATTTTTCAAGACGCTGTAACTCAGGAGGAATTAATCATCTTGATTTAATTTTTTTGGTGAACACACGTAATAATGATATAAACAACATATAAAACTTCCAGTATAGAGTTATTGTTTGTTACTTACCGTCAAAATGGGAAAGATCCATCACTTTTCTAATAAAATATGTTGTCAGACGTCCATGTTTATAAACAGTCGCAAGGCTACCATCGGAATATGTTGTGATGTTCCGGTATATTCCGGGAAACTATCGTGATATTCCGTGTTATTCCGCCATATTCCGTGATATTCCGCCATATTCCGTGATATTCCGCCATATTCCGTGATATTCCGGCATTCCGGGTTTTCACAACGCCCTTTCCAAATGTCTATTGGCATGTAATAGAAAAGTGGCATCGTGGAGGTAATAGCCTGAGGAAATAAAGCTGAATAAACACAATCAGGTTATGAATCGTTACCAGTATATTACACTTGAAAAACACCCTATAGTTAAAATATCCTGGTTAACTACAGTATTTGGGTTAACTTCATATTCCTGGTTAAATCTTCCTGGATATTTTATCTCACCAAAGTGTGGTTTAATTGACCACTCAGGTATTATATTATTGGGGCCGCTGTAATTGGCAATAGCTGTTGTGGTTTCCCAGCCAATGAATGTATAAGTCAGTGATGGCAAAGTAAATAAATAAATAAATAAATATTATTTCCTAGGGTCCCTTTCCACGTCGAGTTTCTGCTTGTTTATTTCGTAACCGACCTAAGGCAATTTAGCACATATATAGCCTAAATACGTGTAGCGTCACAAACCTGATAACACGATATATGTTAAAATGAAGCAGTTCATTCCGCCAGTTAACGAAAAAATTTTCTACCATATCTAAGTAAAGAAAGTGAAGTTTATAAGAACTAGGGAAGAGGTCATAATTAAAATACATGCCTAGCAGGACAAAGGATTTTATATTTTCTTGCCGTTTAATTAATTATTACCTTTTCGGATCCGGTGTAACCAGATTTTTCGATTAAATTTATTTACGTTTATAGCGGAAATCTCGGCTTTCCATATACGAGAATATTTAGTAGCCCGTTATTATTGTGAATACTTTCACCATAACAAATAGTTGGTTAGAGCGCTGCACCGGAATCTCAGGGTCGGCACAGGCTCGATTCTTGCCAGCTAGAGGACCTATATATAGTGCTGTATTTTTCGCAACCGTTCCTGGTCAGTAGGTATATATAAGAAGTGTATACATGCATATTTGTTAAATTAAGGCTGATTTCCACTTTTGCGTTTTTCATATAGGTACGCGTATACGCACGTAAACTTTAAATCCGTTTAAATGTTACTTATGAAATAACCAAATAAATAAAAGCAACAGAATTTAGTGTTCCGCAAGTTTTAGTATGCATTTGTTAACTTATTTGCAAAATATTTGAAAAATAGAAGGATTCAAAGTTTTACGTGCGTGTACGTACGTAGCCTATACGAAAAACGCAACAGCTAGTGGAAATCAGCATTTATTTGGATTATCCATCGGCCGTGACAAATAGCCATTTCTTAAACATGCATGTATTAAATTTTAGTAGTATAGAAATGCGGGTTCAAGCGCATTTTTGATCCGCTTTCTAAACCGGTTCAAACCGGTTCGATAAATGTTGATTAATTAATGACGTCATTAATTCAGGTTCGCTCCGTCCCTCTAACGCATTTCTTTTCCGAAATTCAATTATGACGTCATCAATCACGTGATCATTTTCCAAAGGGTTCAACGATCACGTCATCACAGCTAAAACTATTTTTTTAATTTTTCCGGGAGAGTCGGTAGTGTCCTATTGCTAAAGTGTGTATTCCGTCGGATAGTATAACACGCTTATCGTCGTTTGCCGAAAGTGCCGGGGGGTTTTTTCGAGGACGAAGTGTCTTATAGAGAACCTCATGTATAATAAACAATGGGAAGAGAGAATATGTTCGAACATTACACTAAGGAGAGGGTGTACAACCAGAAGCCGAAGGCGGAACCGTATCAGAAACGTTGTTCGGTTTGTATGATCTGGGCTAGTCGGAAGGGTGTTACCAAAGATTTTTGGTGTAAACATATGAAACACAACCTTAGGTATTTTAGATAATTTATTTTAATGGATTTGAATCGAAAAAAAAAATGTATATAATAAAGAAAGGATGTCCATTACCAAAGTTTCATACTTTACCAAAGACTCGTTCGCTTTCGAAGATGCCGTCGGAAACAGATACGGGTCCAAGAAGATTAAATTAACGGCACAGGATCAGGGTCCACTTTTATTGAAACTCGAGGACTGCTTGTCCTATGGAGTGAGCAGGAACAGCAAGTCCGATAAGGAAAACTATTCCATCTCCCTAGCCCTGAGGAACAAGGAGGAGTTTGTGTCAGTCCTGGAACTGGTGGAAAAGGAGTCTGCCGATCATGTTGGTAAGCCGGGTGAAAACGTCATGAAATGTCTTTACCGGAAGGGTAGCACTCCGACCCTATACGTAAAGATTGTTGACGAAACGGAGATCTATCCCCCGAAAGGAGACGAACCCGTGGACCACAGAAAGTATCAAGATAAGAGGTTTCACCTTGACGCGATCGTCAGGATCGAAAGCATCTATGTGTCCAGCAGTATAACCTCCATCCAGGTGAAGCTGTATGGGGCAAATATATTGGAGGAAAAGCCTAAAGTACCGAGGAAGAGACTTTTACAGCGACGGGATTAGTCGGATACGGGAATGCCAGCAGAACCAATTTTAATGTCTGTAAGAACATTAAAATTTAAGAAGCATCAGCATTTTCCCCTTTTTCCGGACAGCTTACCTTCAAGCTGATCACGTGCTTTCCGACAGTGATTCCACCACTTAGTATTCCGATGAGTGGGATGTATGGTGTTACATAACTGACAAGGTTTTTTATATCTTTTCTAAGCAGATCATTTTCCTCCAGTTCTTTTTTCATTCCTTCGGAATCCTTGACAGCATCCAGCGCTTCCATGAGTTCGGAGAACTTGGTGATGATAACGTCAGTCAGTTGGTTGTTTGTGTTTTCCAGCTGTTGTCTTTCATAGTCTTTGTATATGTTTTCCAACGTCTTTTCAGATGCCTTTTTAATATATTTTGAGGTGTACTTGATTTCACCCGCATCGGACAGCTTCAGTAGATTTTCCCTTAGATCGCTTGAAACAGATGTTTCAGTCGTCTCAGGTTCTACAGATTCGAATATGTTTTCCATTCCTTTATTTAATATGCGGAATAATTGTTTTGTGTGTATAGGGTCGGCGTAATAGTATTTCCAGTCTGGCGTAGTCATTGTTTTTTAGCGTATTAATAATTTCCTTCCTTTCTTCTTTTTCCGTGTTTGCAAGGTAGTCACCCATTATGACGTTCGTATCTTTTGCGCTCGGGTTGTAGAAGGTTACAAGTTTGGATATTTGTTCTCTATAGGGTTTCGCAATAGAAGTCAGCTGTTGGGTAATGACAATGGTCGATATTCCCATATGCCGCGCACTACACCCCAAATTAACCAACTCTCCCGTACGATTCTTGACAGATTAACTACTAGCACAATCGTCAAGAACGATAAGGCTGTTTGTTCCTTCTGCAAACTGTGAAATGTATTCTAAGCATTGATTTACATCATCTTGTTTGCAGGGCATGACTATAAAGTCCTTATCCTTATTGTATTTCCAATCCTGATACGTTCTATTCCATTTATAGGTGGGACATATTAGAAATATGTACTCGAAGTGGTTTTTGTAGTCGTTCTCCAACATTTCCAGTAGGTGATAGGTTTTTCCACATCCGGTCATTCCAAGAATGATTATGTTGAATGGTGTTTTCAGCGGTTCCATCTTTTATTTAATAATTAATACCTTGAAGGGTCTTTTCACTGATGTTTATGAGTCCATCGGATAGCACAAAGATGTTGCAGAGGATGTCTTCGGTCATCGCATCGGATGTAATCTCCAGAAGAATTCCTGGATTGTCACCAAGAATCTTTTTTCCACTTCCAACAGTGTGACTGTCATCAACAGCTCTTAGATCAACCACCAGTGCGAACTTGTCCCTGTAGAATTTCCTGACGCTTAGGTCGTCATTACAGGTGTTGTTGGGTATTCCGAACAGTCTTTTCGCCTCGTCGTAAAAGTTTTCATATCTTAGACCTTGACTGTATACAGCATTCGGTTTCCCCTCTATCGTAACCTTTACCTTTTCAATGTTTGGGTAGACGTATTCCTCGCTGTCGGTTACCGTTCTTTTTCTGAAAAGCAGAACGAGAGCTCTCATGCTCTCCCTTGGGACGTCTATACTCTCGTTAAACCTTGTAGCATCTTTTGCCCATACGGTTGTCTTCAACAGTGTTGCATGTTCGTAGGACAGAGATCTACCGGTCTCGTATCCCTCGTTTACCCGTTCGGCTAGTTCTTCGTTCTCGATGGTTTCGTATTCCAGGTGTATGTTCTTCAATGTATATCCTTCCACCTTCTCGTTTGCCTGTGCAATCATAATCTTGTCAGCTTTTGGAAGGGTTATTGTGTACTCGAATCTGCTCTTCATGTCATACGGTGCGTAGGGACCGTGATCGTTGAGAATTTTTCCAAGTTTCATTTTTTGCTCCTTATATACTTTTGCCATCACCAGGTCGTAGACACCTTCCGTTTTTGCGGTCTGATTGGCACTGTCGTCCTTCGACAATAGCTTTCTTGTGTTTTCATTCATAATTCCGTATTCTATCATGTTTGCTCTTTTCGTATCCATCTTCCAGAGGTCCTTATAGATTTCGATGAGACTTTCACCGTTATTGTCGTAGACTATTTCACCACCCACTCTTATCATGAGCCGCTCGCATAGAAGTTTACCGAGGTTATTCATGAAACAGGATTTGGTGTTTTCGTTCTTGAACTCGTACGATAGGCGGAATGAATCCGGAAAGATACAGGTGTTCGGTTCTAGTTTTGGAACTACAATCCGGATGTCGTTTCCGGGGTTGGATTCGTTCGGGGTGAATGTAACATAGTTACATACCCTGTTTCCTACAACGTTGGAGGTTAGAGCCCTTTTGAAACCGGGCGTAAGTTCTTGACTTCTCTTTTCCATTCCTTTTATTATAGTATATTAATTATTAAATTTTTCAAACTTTGGTTTGGGTTCGCTCTGCCTACGGTTCGGCTCATCCTGTACTTGCGGTTCTGTTGTGTGGTCGGGTTTGTCCGTAGGTCTGACCCTACAGTATATGTAGTAGATTCCTTCTAGCGCAGCTGCTGTGACTCCAGCGTAAATTAGCGTATTTACCGAATCACCTTGATCGAGGTTATTTTCGGCGTTACGTCTTTCTTCAGCCTTCCTTGCTTTTGCTTCCCTAGATATTGCAGCAAGTCTTTTACCCGATTCTACCCTTCTCGGATCCTTCGGTTTCTGGGTCTTTTCCGCCCTTGTTATTGTTGGTTCATTCATGCTTTATTTAATATACTTGCTTTTTTTTAGAATTTCTAGTTAAATCTAGTCAAATTTTAGTCAAATTCTAGTCAGAGCTAGTTGCAGCATAACCTTGACTAGATTTCAGCATAACCTTGACTAGGTTTAGCATCTAGTTAAAGTCTAGTTAAATTCTAGTCAGAGCTGGTTGCAACATAACCTTAAATAGTTTCAGAAAATCAACTTAGGATAATTTCGGAACCAACTTAAAGAAATAATTTTCCATATAATAAAAGGTATGGACTTTCCTATGACAGTATCGGAAGAGATTCGTCAGTTGGAGCCGCCTCCCTCAAATTGGCTGACTCTCTTAAGACAGGCGGAAAAGGAGTATCTAGATCTTCTTGCTTTAGAGGAACCTGTGAAGTTTCCGAACAAGCATTTCTGCTCTGAGGGACACAGACACCATCTCGTCTTCGCAGATGGGTTTCGAACGTATTGGTCGTGTGGATTAGTTGTTGGTAGGGTCCGCAATCCTGATTACGGTTACGATCGTAGGGACAGTATGATGACGAGAAGTCGGGAAATGAACATTGATGGTAGGTTCGAATTATTCTGTACCAGGAGGAAAATAACATATTCCGATCTATCAGCACATGAAAGACGTTTGATAGCAGAAAACATTCGTAAAGTTTATAGGATAGAAAAACCTGAAAGAAAGAGACTTCCTAACCTCAATATTCTAACTTACCAGATATGTAAAAGGTATAACATAAAGTTAAACGAGAAGCTTCTTAATATTCCGGTAAGCAAAGCTTTACACAACCGGTGTAAAAAAGTATTCCGAACACTGGGCTGGGAATACATTGACCAGTCATCGTCCCTGTAGGCAGTGATGTATACCTAACGCCCAGCGGTATATAGTTCTGTGGCGTGGGGGACTGGTAAAAGAAAAAAAAAGACGCCGTGTAAAATTTTAATGCTTACTTAACATTAAAATTGGAATAGTAATTTAAGAGTGATGATGATGAGGAGAATTTCAACCGTTATTGGGATGAGTAGGCAGCACACCAGACTCATCCATATTAGTCTACGGAGTACTTGGGTTCCGATCATTTGTTTTATCATACATTTTTACCGTTGTACTAACGTATCCAATTTGGGTGTGAGCGTTGATAGTGAGATCACCGCGTTCTATACCAATTCCGAAACTGAACATTTTCCTTTTCCGATGGTTTTTGTCGTACTTCGCTTCATTTGTAGTCTCAGGTTTTGCGTGTAAACATCCCATTTTATATATTCTTCTTTTTACTTTTCGCTGACTTTGGTTTTTCTCCCTTCACAGTTTTTGTTGACGGTCCCGCTTTGCCTTCCTTACACGACGTAACGTACTTGATGTTGGTTGTCTTGGATTTAACGTAACCGAGATTCAGCCCACCTTTACTGAGTTTTATATCGACGTTGACGGTCTTGTCCCTTTTTAAATTTTCCTTAACTCTGATTCTGTCGCTACTCATTTCTTTTATTAATACGAAAAGAAAATCCATCTCGAAGTGATAACCCCACCGACGAACATAGTGCCGAGAAGGTAAATCAGATTGTTTGATGCTTTCGGTAGTATGCTTACCGTGTTAGGATGTGGTATGAGGTTCTGATCTTTGCGTGGTATAGGGCTTTGGGTTTTTGTATCCAGACTTTTCTTTATCTCCTTGGGCTTTGAGTAGTTAACGTCCGTATTACTACCAAACCTCATGTCATTTGTTGCTAGTGTCAGTGTATTGTTGTATCCTGCTATTTTTTCCTTGAGTATAATCATACTGGATGGTATTAATATTAATCCGGGTGATATTGCCATGTTAAGTACAGCGTTAGTATCCTTTATTGCTTTCCTCATGTTGGAGATGGATACCGATACATCGTCTTGCGCAACGGTGTCTTTGAAAAGTTTGTGAAATACGTCCTGAGTTTGCAGTGACTTCGCCCCCTTACCAACGATGGACCAACGTGTTTGTGCTTGCGCACCTAATACGCAATAGACATAACTTTCGATAGATTGTTGAAGTAACTTTAATCCTAGGGGTGTCAACCCGTCTGATTTCTTAGCTATGAACTGGGTGTAATCCGTATCGCTGTTGTTAGTGACCTTGTCTACTTCCTGATAGCTAATTCCTGATACACCACCGGTATGGTAGTATGTATACCTGTAGTTTCTAACCCTACTTTTATCTGGAAGTCTGCTATGCCAGAGACCTATTTCCGTCTGTCCCCGGTGGAACTTGTTAACCCACGTTTTTTGTGTGGGTATGTTTCTCTGCAGAGATTTTAGCATATCCTTCGTTACATACTTTGTCATTTTGCTTGGATTTCTGAGGAACCTACGCATGTGGTAGTATAGGTGATACCTAGCAATACTTGTGATTATCTTTGAGGTTCCTTTGCTTTCCAGCAGATGTTCCGTACTTATTCCACACTTATACGTGATAATGTAAGCAGCCAGTATCGATGCAAAATAAGGATCGTTTATATAATTGAACTTTACCCTGGTGATATCCTTTGCGGTACCAGTCCACTTTGTGCTAAGATCGGCGAAGTTGGATACAAAGCTGCTGTGAGAGGTGTTGGTGCAGTCGCAAACGTAAATTTCAAACCTATTTATTTTGTATGGAAGTGGATCCCTGTTATGTTTAAAGGTTTGAACGGACACATAATTACCCCATATTCTCTCCCATTGGTAAAGATACCACGTCCACTTTTTATTTTCCCTGAATGTGCTGGATGTGATGTCGTAACTTTCCAGGTCGGTAACCTTAAAGAATATGTCCTTGGATTCTAGGGTTCCGTCCTTTGCAAATGTAACCTGAAATTCAAATTTGGACATTTCCGCACCCGGATATTTTTTCCTAAAATCTTCCTTCATCTTCCGTCTTTCAATGGGTGCTGCCACCTTTACTTTTTCATAGTTCTGTCCGTAATAGTCACGGAATATGTCTCCACTGGTACTCATTTTATTTAATTCATATAATAAAAAATGAAGAAGTTAACAGTGTTTATCGAAGATGGAACTACAGAGTTTTTCCCAGACAAGTGTATTACGACGAACGCAGAGTCAGAATTAATCCTAAAGAATGCATCCATCTACTGGGCTTATAAAAACATACGTTTGAATGTTAATGATAATATTACCTATGGGCAAAAGAAGATTACCTTCGAAGATGGCTACTGGACCTTTGATGCAATAAAGAAAAAACTGAAGATAGATGGAATAAAAGTAGGACGCAACACCCACAACAATACCTGTAGGATATATCCAGCAACCGGGACAGACCTACATTTAAATGAATTTGCTCCACTAATTGGATTTCCAGAAACGGAGATCCTAACCCCCGGAGTGTGGGAGAGATCTCCCTATCCTATAGATATTAATCACGGTCTTAAATACGTTACTATCAACTGTGATGTTGTTAATACATCCCTAAATTTTGACGTAAACGGTAAAGGAAGTTTTACGGTGAGCACGTTACCCATACCATCTGATCAGCATCTGAACGGAACAACAACATTTTTCAAGGATATTGAAAGTAGGGTTTATGTTAATAATGGTTCTCATAACAGATTTTCCTTCAGCCTTAATACAAACATTGGTGATAAGGTTGATATGTCTGTACTCTTAGAATTTTACATCACATAAATAAAAAAAATGGAAGACAGACACTTTGTTACCGAGCAAGGGTTAAGAGATATCTACTACAATCCAGGTACCGGCTATTAATCCGCAGAGAAGCTCTATCGGAAGGCAAAGGAGGAGGGACTGGACGTTAGTCGAAAAACGGTGAAGGACTGGTTAAAGACTCAAGATACCTAGACAAGGTATAAGCCTATCGTTAGGAAACATAAATTTCAGAGAACATTTGGAAACACAACGTCCGCTATTTTTCCACAAACTCTGACAGAACAATGATGTGGAAGTATTTCTACAGCAGGGGGACTTACGACTGGTTCAACACCATAGACGAGCTCACGAATAACTACAATCGTACCAAACACAGCAGTATACTAATGAGACCCGCTGACGTAAACAAGTCGAACAAGGATCAGGTATGGACCACGCTATACGGTTATGGATTAGGAGAATTTCCATTACCTAAGTTTAGGGTTGACGACACGGTCCGAATAACAAAGTATAAAAATATCTTTACCAAGGGATACGAAGCAAACTTTACGGAAGAGATATTCAAAGTTGTAAAAGTATTCAGAGGAGATCCTAACATGTACGAAATAGAAAGTCATGACGGAGAACCAATCATCGGAAAGTTTTATGAAGAGGAACTGTCTGCTGTGAACAAGAAGGACGATGTGTATAGGATAGAGAAAATTCTGAGAAAAAGGAAGGGTATGGTACTGGTCAAGTGGTTAGGATACGATAGTAAACACAATTCCTGGATTCCCGAAGGAAATATTAAGGATATAGAATGAATGGCTGACATTGAGCTAGAAGAAACAAACCGCACCAACGAGCGCGAAGTTGAAGAAGTTGAAACGATGGAGGAAGAAACAAGTTTCATTGACAATGATGATGGGAGACGGGACGAAAGTATATTAATTCCCATCGGATTTAATCCGGACGTTGATGGACCGAGACCAAGCGGTTCCACACCAAACATCAGACGGGATGCCGGAGTAATGAAACGGGCCTATACGTTGGATAAAAAGGATTTCCTCAAAAGGAAACTAGGAGTAAATATCAATAAGGGAGACGGTCCATCTTCCACCATCATCTTTGACAAAATGAAGCTAACCGTAAATAAGGCCGGAACAAAAATTAACGGTGCTACATTCAAAGATGTCAAGATCATTATCTCAAAGAATGGTAAAATGATATACTCCGCGGATAAGAACAAGGAATCCGTCGTCAATGAATACAAGGAACTGATCAGGAAAGCTAGAATAGAGCATTCAAGAACACCTGCAGCCATGGTAGAGGAACAACTCGAACGACAGAATTTAGATACTCCTCAGGAACTTGTGGATAACGTACTGGGAAATATCATCGAAAGAATGGATGATGAACTGTCTAACCAGAGCGAAGCCATCGGTAATAGTACAATCATAACGGAGAATGAACTAAGGGAACTGAGAGGTATCCTAAACGTAAAAGGAAACTCGGGTAAGCAAAAGATTGAGTATCTTGAAGTAGAAAAAAATCATTGGAAAGAACTAGCTGAAACTGAACGGACTGCAGGACGTGAACAAAAGGCTCTCCTGTACGAAGCAATGGCAGACATGGCAGAACTGAAAGCGGATGAGATAAGGTTAAGATCAAACGAACGACCAAAAGGACCAAAAGCCCTATCCATCGTGGAAGAGGAGGTGGGAGTGAACGATCTTACGAGGTTCGAAAGATTTAAGAAATGGGCAAAGGAAAATATAGCCGGAATATCAGCCGTAGCAATATCTGTGGCGGGTATCATCACCACGGTTGTTATGGGAGCTAGAAGTGCAACAAAAAAGGGGGCGAGAGCAACGAGCAAGTTCGCAAAAGCAGTGGCAAACCTAGCCGGAAAGGTCGGACCCGTACTAGCATCCGTACTAAACCTCATCGCTAAGGTTTTAGGATGGGGAGCAAAGGGTATTGCATTCCTAGCGAAAAATCTTTGGATTTTAGCACTGGCATTAACCTACTTCCTGTACAATGAATACAAAAAGAAAAAATAAATACCATATAATAAACAATGGGAGATAGAAAAGCCTTTATGAACGAAGCCTTCGACGCCGAACTTATTACACTCGGAGCAGTCGCTGCGTCTGTGGTAAGCAAAAAATTTGCAGGTGACAGTCTCGAAGTACCTAGTACTCCGAAAGGAATTTTAAAACTAGCCGTAGCCCTTGGAGCTGGTGCGGTTGGAGTCCACTACCTACAGTTCAAAAAACTATTACCAGATGATCCATTTAAATAAAGGAAATGACAAGTGTTGTAGTCGGAGGATTATTCAACGCGGTTGCATTTGCAGGAGCTGGATTCCTGTTCAGCAAATTAAACCACAGTGGATACAAAGATGAAATGAAAAGACATAACAAAGCGTTGGAAAAATTAGCTAAAGCTAAGGAAAAATGGTATGAAAGTCAAGTGGAAAAAAAGAACAGAATTGCAATACTCAGGCAGGAACTAGCTGATGCCAAATCGGATATGGAAGTGACAAACCGCGCTCTTGACTCCCTGCGAAAAGCGCAGGAGGAATTAATTCTGGACAAAGAGCCAACAATTCATGACTATTATAAACCATCAAGCGAAATGGAAGAATACCAACAGATCACGATCGGAATACTAGGTCTGGGGTCTGGATTCATAATTACAAAAATATTATAGGAAAATGAAAACGTCTTATAGAAAACATTTATCCGTATAAATAAGACCACGCGTCCGATCAGGATTCATCACTTTTTTCCAAATCTAAAAGATTTGGAAAAGGGGAATCCCCCAGGTATATAAACTTCCATATATGGACATTGAAACGTCTTATACGAATGCCACACATATACAATAAATAAATGAATCCGAATAGGTCAAGTCCTTTATTAGATATGGATATTCCCATTGGATTACCACCAGCCCTAACACCGACCAGGTACGAACCACCATCACCTCCACCAGCAGCGACAAGAACATACACATGGCGCGAATGGGGTGAGTGGCTAGTCAAGGACGTGCCGAAAGATATAAAAAGGAAAGTCACCGACGCGTACAGAATATTTAAAAACAAGGTTTTAAGTCTATACGGTAAGCAACCAACGGTAAAATCAACATTAGTCTCTAGTGCTATCAAAAAGAATACTGCTAAATGGATGATACCCGGTGATGAGTTCAAAGATCCTTGGGTCTTCTTAAACAGCGCAAGATCTGAAGTGGAAAAGATCGTCAACGATGTTGAAGGTGCAAAGAAAGTATATCTGGTATTAACCTGCGAACTCGTAAAAGAAGACTCAAAAACCAAACAGAAAACATACACAACATCCCACGGAAGAAGTAATACTCACGCAATCACAGTTAACATCAGCGGAGAGTATGAAAAAATGCGTGAAAAAGTGTTAGAAAGTCTCGCGAAATTCCAAAAGAATGGTAGTAATTGGAGATTACACAAAGTGGAAAAGTTAGAAGTGTCTGTCACAAAGTATGAACCGTTGAAAGGGAAGGGATATACAACACCGCTCCCAGAACCTCTAAAGGGAAAGAATGCCATCATTAATATGAAAAACGAGGACAACCAGTGTTTTAAATGGGCAGTCACTAGAGCTCTGAATCCCGTAAAACGTGACGCATGTAGAGTCACAAAAATCTTAAAATTACAGGTTGAAAAATATAATTGGGAAGACATAGAGTTCCCAACGAAAGTTAAAGATATTCACAAATGGGAAGAAAAAAATAATATAAACATTAACGTATTCGGATACGATGAGGAAACGAAAAAATTATATACGTTAAAACTCGGAGAGCAAGAAATCCAACGGAAACAGTAAATCTATATCTACACGATGACAATCACTACTGTGTAATTAAAGATCTACGTCGTCTCATAGCATCACAACTTAGCAAGGGTAAACGACGGAAATTCATCTGCTTAGGATGTATAAATGCATTCGGAACGGAAATACTCCTGGCTGAACACACAGCACTATGTAAAAATCATGAACTACAGCACCATTACTATCTATCCAAAGGCAGCACAACATTCTTCAGGAATTTCGAACGGTTACACGAAGTACCATTCATGGTAAACGCAGATTTCGAATGTTTTCTGGAACCAATGGATCATGTAGAAGGTGATCCAAAAACGTCATTCACAATTCAATATCAAAAGCACAGACCAAGCGGATTCTCATACACGATAAAATGTATGGATGAGAACGTTTACAAAACAAAATTTGTAACGTACACGGCACAAAATAAGGATGAGGATATCGGAAAAGTGTTCGTTGACTCATTGGAGGAGGATCTGAAACTAGTGTATGAAATTCTTAAAAAAGTAACGCCAATAAGCATGACGGAAGAGGATGAAAAGAACTATACTGAATCCAACAACTGTTATGCATGTAACATACAATTCGGAACCGATAGGATAAATGAGTGGAATGGTGAGGAAGAAAAAGTAATCAAGTATAGAGATCACTGCCATATCACTGGCAAATACCGAGGAGCCGCATGCGACAAATGTAACCTCCGAATGAGGACACCAAAATTCGTGCCAATACTTTTTCACAATCTGGAAAGTTATGATGCACACTTGTTTGTAAAAAGTCTAGGACTTAGTGAGGGTGATATTAATTGCATTCCGAAAACAGATGAAAAGTATATATCGTTCAGTAAGGAAATCCCTATGGAAATCATCATATTACCCGATGGAGAAAAGACATTATATCTGGAAATGCGGTTCATAGACTTATACAAGTTCACACTTGCGTCACTTGATTCCCTCGCCAACACGCTCGGCGAGGATGACTTCAGAACATTGGAAAGTCAAATGAAACACTCAGGAATAGAGCTACTGAAGAGAAAAGGGGTGTTTCCATATGAGTTCATGACAGGCTATGACAAATTGCAGTATGATAAGCTACCCAGTAAGAAAGAATTTTACAGTAGGTTAAATAACACAGATATAAGCAACGAGGACTATGAACATGCACAAAAAGTCTGGAAGACGTTCGACTGTAAAACGATGCGTGACTACCACGATCTGTATCTCAAAACAGACGTACTGTTGCTCACAGATGTTATGTGTAGATTCAGAAAAATATGTACGGAAAATTACGGATTAGATCCATTACATCATTACACAGCGCCAGGACTCGCTTGGGATGCGGCGCTAAAAATCACAAAAATAGAATTAGAACTTATTCACGACCCAAACATGTATCTCATGATAGAGAAAGGAATACGAGGTGGGGTCAGCACGATAATGAAAAGATATGCAAAGGCGAATAACAAGTATATGAAAAATTATGATCCAAAAAAGGATAACATATACATACCATACTTGGACGCTAATAACTTATATGGATGGGCAATGAGTCAACCATTGCCAGTTGGAAACTTCAAATGGATGACAGAAACTGAACTGAGCAACTGGGAAAACATTCCATGCATACTGGAAGTGGATCTGGAATACCCGGAAAATCTACATGACAACCACAACGAATATCCGCTCGCGCCGGAAAGCATAGAAGTAAATAAAGTCAAGAAACTAATCCCGAACTTAAACGATAAGAAAAACTATGTACTGCATTATAGGAACCTGGAACTATATCTAGAATTAGGGCTAAAACTAACAAAAGTACATCGTGGGGTAAAGTTTGAAGAAAGTCCATGGCTAGCAAAATATATACAACTCAACACAAATCTTAGAACAAAAGGTACAACAGATTTTGAAAAGAACTTTTTCAAATTAATGAACAACTCGGTATTTGGAAAGACGTAAACGTTAAGCTAGTAACCGCCGAGGAACAGTTAAACAAGCTCGCGAAAAAGCCACACTTCAAAGGTGTAAACATTTTCACAGAAAATTTAATTGCTGTTCATATGGAAAAAACCACTGTCAAACTTGTAAAACCTATATACCTAGGAATGAGCATCTTAGATCTAAGCAAAACACTCATGTATAACTTCCACTATAACTACATCAAACCAAAATACGGTAATAATGCAAACTTACTCTTCACAGACACAGACAGTCTGTGTTATGAAATTAAAACAGAAGACTTTTACAAGGATATCACACCGGATGTTGAAAAATGGTTTGATACAAGCAACTACGACAAAGACCACAGTAGCGGAATACCGGTTGGAAAAAATAAAAAAGTTGTAGGGATGATGAAAGACGAATGTGGAGGAGAACAAATTTCAGAATTCGTTGGACTCCGTAGTAAACTGCACGCCCACAAAAGGGGTAAAGGAAAAGAGGAAAAGAAATGTAAAGGTGTGAAAAAGTGCGTAGTCAAAAATGAAATAGTATTCGAGGATTATAAAAATTGCCTATTCTCAGGAGCAAAACAATATAGAACAATGAATACATTCCGGAGCCGGCAACACGAAATAACGACGGAAAGAATAAACAAGACGGCACTTTCGGCAAACGACGATAAGCGTGTTATACTATCCGACGGAATACACACTTTAGCAATAGGACACTACCGACTCTCCCGGAAAAATTAAAAAAATAGTTTTAGAAGCTGTGATGACGTCATCGTTGAACCCTTTGGAAAATGATCACGTGATTGATGACGTCATAATTGAATTTCGGAAAAGAAATGCGTTAGAGAGACGGAGCGAACCGGAATTAATGACGTCATTAATTAATCGACATTTATCGAACCGGTTTAGAAAGCGGATCAAAAATGCGCTGGAACCCGCATTTCTATACTACTAATTTTCTAATCAATATATTTTCGAAGAAGTCAAGATTGTCGTATGACTTATCATTCATGTTTTATGTTTTGCATAAAGATGGAGGTACATACAAAATCAGAGATCAAAGAACCATTACATGTAAAAATAATATCATATGACAATTCTTAATTACTGAATAAAATTAACTGAATCAGCGTCAATCTTGATAAATACGACCTCATTAATATGGCCACAAAGACCATCAAATTAAATATAATTTGAACTGTGCCTGTGGTATAGCAAATAATTTTAGACACATATACATGTATTTGTTTATAGATTTTATCACAAGCAACCTGTGGTTAAGACATAAACTCAACTGTAATAATATTTTGTTTGAACAGAAAATTCTCACTTACACCTTTGAACGTTTTTTCTCACCATGACCAAATGACATGACTAACAAAGCTCGCGACTTTCCAGCAAAGCGGAATTAGACTTCACATCTCTCTACATTATATGATGCTCGTATATATATCCTAGTACGTATACAATTAATTTTATTTATCTACGCCTCAGCAGTTTTAAAAAATATAATAAACAATTAACATGCATGAATTATGTATGATTTTTATGTTACCTGCATGTATCTATTTGTAGTAGAATTCAGTCTTCTATCCTTGCAAAAAATGGAATATTTGCTTGCTAACAGAAATTTTATTGCCTCTGCATGTCTGAGAGTTTTAATTAATCTGGCGGTGTAAGGAATTAAACAAATTATTGCGATTAAACTTTTGATTAATTTGAACTGTTCTCCATTATATATGTTAGTGCTGGGAATTGTTCTAATGATCCCCATGCTTTTGGAGATTGTTTTATTTAATTTGAACGGTTGACCATGTTTGATGTGGACTGTTCTAATGCTCTCCATGTTTTTGAGATTGTTCATCCAGCGACGATCCCAAAATGCCTGCCTTAATTGCGAAGATTTTGCGATTATCATAATTTTTCATGCGGCCCAATGAATATAATATTATCCTTACTGTAATATATCATGCATCACAGTTCTATGTCTATCCTTTACTGTTTTATTTCCACGTATTGCCACTGCGGAAACGCGGAATAGGGGAATGGGAAGAGAATGACTGGGGAATGATCATTTAAAGACCAGAGAATGATGGGAAATTAAATGACCCTGAAATATAATCGGGGAATGACCGGGCACAGATAATATTCCTTGGATACTGAATTTTCCTTTCTCAACAGTTCCTTACCATGACTCCCTACAGTTATAGTACAGTTTAAAACATATTTATATAGATCAGACGCCATCTCGTTCCTCGCGCGTGGAATCTTCCTGGCCTGGTACAAATTTTCAAATAAGGCGCGGGAAGTACTATGTTTTTGAGTTTTATTTGCAAAGAAAACGCCAGTTTTTTATTATAATCCTAAACTTTCAAAATTCGAACAGTGCGTATAAAAACTGTACTTTTAAAAACTAGTTAATTAACTAGTTTTTAACAGTGCATTTTTCATATAACCAGTCCTATCTTTCAGTGTGTTGTTACGTTTATTAGTTTATTTTATAATGCTCACAATTTTCAACAACAGCGTCGCGGACTGAAATGATATTTTATACTGTCTTCAAGGCGCACCTGAACTGTCACCGAAACACAGGGACGCCGGAACGATAAAAAGGCAAAGGGGGGCAGATGCACACCAAAGGGCACCTCTATAGATCAAAAGTTCGAAATTTACCTAAAAATATTTTTTTTTACATTAAATTTTTTTTGGGCGACCACAATCCCCCCCCCCGCCCCCCCCCCCGTCGCCAAAAAAATTTCGGTCAGTGTACCATTTTAGGGGTCAAAAAATGTTTCCGGACATACCAAAATTTTTCGTGACGTAAAAAAATTTTTACGGACATCAGCAATTTTCTCCATTTATCCGAAATTTTTTTCTAAAATCCAAAAATTTTCTAAAATTTTTGTAAAGTAACCTCATTCTTTTCCAAATTCACATTTATTTTTGTAAATTAACTTTCTCTGGGCCTATAATTACCTGAATCTCATGATTTTGCCATAAAAAGCATCACTGGAAATGTGATTTATCAGGTAGTATTTTACAACTAAAAGGGCACTTCTGCCCCCCTTGCCCCCCCAGCACAAGGCAAGAGGGGCAGCTGCCCCCCTGCCCCCCCCCAGTTCCGGCGTCCTTGCCGAAACATACGTAAGTTCTGTCATTCAACTCAATTCATATGTAGTTTTTACTGCTGAATCTAATAAAACTATACTGCAGATGTACAGATGTTGTTTTACACCAAAAAATCAAGCTCCAGTTTCACAACAAATATTAAATTTAAGAAACGTTAGATTAATTCAGTGCGCTACTGTTCTCAATTTTTCGTATTTTGGACATATATCTTCTATTTTCATCTCAAATAAGTAAAAAAATATCTGTGTGATATATGTAAGACAAAACCTAAAGACAAAGTGAAAATTACTGAAAAAAACAAACTATAACCGCACGGGTTTAACAGCGCAGAATAATGTCTGCATGCGTCAACCTTACAGAATTGGAAATTTGCCTTGCGAACGTGGTGTCACGTGTTCCGAAGGTTGTCAAAAACTTAAAATGGAAGGGACAAGGAACGGCTTCGATGTTTGCTTTTTCTGTGAAAATGTAAAGCGAACTAATGAATGTGACAACCTAAAAACTTGAGAAATAATTACAGTTTAGATGTGCAAGAAATAGTATTATGCAAGGAAATGAACCAATGTAGTGACTGTTGATAAATTTATTGTATAAAAAGTCCCTTAACTGAACCATACAAAGACCTTTTTCGTGGCGTATGATCCATATTTTTTTCAATAACTCTTTTTGCATAGAATTATTCATAAATTTTTGCGTAATTAAACTTTGACTCATTCGGAAGATTTAGCATATTCAGAGCCTTATCTTCTTAAGAGTTTTCTTATTTTTTATGTCTAAACTTTGGTAACTGATCATTTTGCACAAAGCGCTCGATACATCCCTGTTCAAACCAGACTTTTTAAATCTAATTTTAAGAAACGGGGGAAATGTACATTGAAGTCATTTAATTACCCGAGAAAACACAAAAGTTGAACAAAGAGTGGTTTTGAGAGATGCCATCATCTATTAACTATAAAAGTGCACTGCGCTCTAAAACTGTGGGATAAAGCCCGAAAAAGTACGAAAAAAATTCGCAAAAAATCTGGAAAAATCCATAAAAAATCCGTAAAAAGTCCGAGGATGAAAATCCGAAAAATCCCGTAAAATATTTAGACTGACATGTCTCTCGGAGCATATATATGGTGTAATAAAGGTGTAATTTGAACTTTTACTATAAGATTTTTGGGCCGAGATCTAGAGGAAACCAAACTTCTTCAGCCCCATGCCTTTTCCCATTACACGATGTGACGAATTTGGAATTCTGCGAAACCGCAGCAGGCGTTATCATTACACATGTGATGCCATTCACCTAGCGAATGAAATATGAATACTTAGTTAGTGTGAATCTGCCACCATATCAGATATATGTCTATACCACTTATTTAACCTACCATCGCTTCGAACTAACCAGAGAAACGTATAACCGAGCATTACCCTTATTACGTTATGCTCACCTTAGGTTAAAACATCACGGAGCCATTTCTAACTGTCATGTTTTCTTTAAATAAATTATTACAAAGCCCAGTCGAATTGTAATCAAGACCCACTATTTTAAGCAAAATTCGTGCGGGTTCAAACCGTGTTCAACCTCCATATTTGTTTCTTCAATAATACCTTTGAAGTTTGCTGGTTTCCCTAACCATGGTAATATAATGATATGAACAATGATTTATTCGAAACTTCAGGCTGCGAGAAGGCTAAGAAAACGACATAATGTTAAAACCCGGCGAAGTCACTTTTGCAGCGAAATTAAGAAACGCGTTTTCTGATTCCTGAGAGAAAAAGGGAAATACGTTGGGAGCATATCAGTATTTGATATTCGATTCGACTAATATAGTTGTTTGATTTGGCAACTGTTTGCCTGATTTGAATGTGGATTGATTGATTTCGATGGTTGATTTATATACCATGCAGGTCACTTTTGTATGGTTACACATCAATTTCTCATCCCCCGCCAGCATGCTCTCTTAGGTAGCCGCCTCCATGACAATTATTGACATTTTCGACTATATTATAAAACCAAATTTTACCGATTTTATTCCAATTAAAGTACCATTTCGTTTCTTGCATATGTAATACTTTAATATTCATATTATTAGACTTTAATATTCATATTAATTCGCAATCGGGACCCCTAGTAATATAACCACTCAGCACAGCATTTTCTCATTGGTACTATATAACCACACTGGTACAGACAGTTTTAGTATACATCAATGACAAGCGCTTTCGATCGACATGTCTGATTTTACTGTATTTTTAAACAAATACTCAAATTGAAGTGTAGTTATTTAAATTTTAATGGGACTTTGCGCTCCAACTTTTCCCCAGAGGCATACAAATCCCACTTATGTTCATGCAGTAGGCTATACTTTCGGTTATATGTATACAAAATGTATATCCGTTTCCGGTTGCTATGTATATAGCCTATATGAGCAACTATGTAGTTGTAGTTGTTAGTTGATAATAAAGTTATAGAACTAGAGTCTAAAGCAGACGTTACATGGTGTCAGGAGTTATGTCGGAGTTATAAGCGAAACTCACGCTGTTCGAAACTCATGAGTGAATAGTATGGCTGAAGAACATACAAGTCCGTCCGAAGAACCAGGGCCAGCAGCAATTGCCCGAGGCATTCATATGATTCCATTGCCGGCTAAATTAATTGTGAGAGGGAATTTGGCTTCGAACTGGAAGAAGTTCAGAAGAATGTGGAATAATTATGAGATAGCCACACGGTTACGACAAGAGTCGAAGGAACTAAGGACAGCAACGTTGTTCACTTGCATTGGAGTCGAAGCGCTTGAAACATACGAAGGTCTAGAGTGGGCGAACGAAGACGAGAAAATAGATATAGATATTGTCCTGGAAAAACTCGAAACCTTTTATGTTGGGGCTACAAAGGTTATCTACGAGCGATATAATTTTAACCGACGAGTACAAGAACCCAGCGAGTCGTTCGAAGCGTATGTCGTTGCGTTAAGAGCTCTGGCTAAATCGTGTAATTACGGACAATTGACTGACGATTTTATACGCGATAGAATTGCCTTCGAAAGAAGTTACTTCAAGTACAAGAGATTTAACGTTGAGAAACTGCATTGATATCTGATGAGAAGTTTGTCGCAAACCGAAGATATACACGCAGTTCGCATGAAGAGAGATGGGAAGAAAGACAAAGGAGATCAACGAGGCAGAACGAAGGGATTAACTCAAGAACGTAAACAACCCGAACAAAAGCAGCCAAGTATATTAAAATGCAAATATTGTGGCAAAACCCATCGGCGGATCAAAGAAGAGTGTCCAGCGTGGGGAAAGAAGTGCTTAAAGTGCAACAAGACAAATCATTTTGCGTCGCAATGTCGAAGTAAACAAGGCTCAGAGAAAGGAAACATTCATGGGGTCGGTGAGCTGTTTGAGAGTGAGGATGAAGAAACTGAGTGCGTAGATTACGTTCTAACAGTTAAAGAAAAGTCAGTTATGTCTGTCACAGAAAACAAGTTTCCCAAGAGAATCTTTGCACATATGGTATTAAATGAGACGAGTGTGAAGTTCCAGTTGGATAGCGGAGCAACCGTGAATGTTCTACCGTTGCAGTTGTATCGAGATATTTTCAACGATCCGAAGCTTATGCACCTGAAAAAGACACAAACGACGTTGGTGATGTTTAATAAATCAAAGATGAACGTATTGGGAAAGTTAAAGACGATGACTATCAACCCTAGGAATGAGATGAAGCATGCAGTTGAATTCTTGGTGGTGAATCAGGATTATAAACCGTTGCTGGGTTTTGAAACAATCCAGAAGTTTGAGCTAATGACAGTGAACACCGAGAATGTAATGTCAGTCCGAAGCCATTCCGGAATCAGTCCGAAGTCGTTCCGAAGTCAGCACGAGGGAAATCCGAAGTTTGTCCGAAGTCATTCCGAAGCGAGCCCGAAATCAATCCGAAGGCAGTCCGAAGTCATTTCGAAGTCAGACCGAATTTATTCCGAAGTTACGAAGACAGCCCGAAGTCAACCGAAAGTCCGTACAGAGTCTGAAGTCGTCAGCGTGTACAAAGACGTGTTCACAGGTGAAGGCCGATTTAAAGAGAAGCTGTATTTCGAAGTTAATAAAGAAATTCCACCCACTAAAATACCTGTTCGGAAGGTACCAATCGCCCTCAAGAAACCGATTAAAGAAGAGCTAGATCGACTAGTAAAATTGGATGTCTTGACGAAAGTGGAAGTACCAACGGATTGGATCTCGTCCATGGTCGCTGTTCAAAAGAAAGATGGAAGCGTTAGACTATGCATAGATCCAAAGCCATTGAACAAGGCATTGAAACGAAATCATTATCCACATCCAGATATAGAAGATCTTCTACCCAACTTGGCAAAGTCCAAAGTATTTTCCGTGGTGGATGCAAAGAATGGATTTTGGCATGTACAATTAGATCAAGAAAGTAGCTATCTAACGTCGACGTTCGCAACGCCTTGGGGCCGTTACAGATGGAAGCGGATGCCGTTTGGAATATCTCCAGCTCCAGAAGAGTTTCCACGATATCTAGATTTAGCGCTGGAAGGATTGGAAGGAATTAAAGCAATTTGTGATGACATACTTGTCTGCGGAGTTGGTGAATCTTATGAAGAAGCAGTGCAAGACCATGATAACAAGTTGGTGAGTCTGCTTGAGCGCTGCAGAAGTAAAGGAATAAAGCTGAATTCAAAGAAGCTGCTGTTTCGTCGCAAGCAAGTGAGTTTTATGGGTCATTTAATCACTTCGAAGGGACTGAGGCCTGATCCAGCAAAGGTGGAGGCGATCCGGAAGATGCCGATACCGTCGAACAAGCAAGCGGTGCGACTCCTCCTTGGAATGGTTAATTATTTGCAAAGATTTTCACCAAATTTGTCTTCAGTCACAGCACCGTTAAGAGAGTTACTTAAAGAACAGAATGCGTTCCACTGGAGAGAAGATGTCAAAGCGAAGTGTTTCAGCGAAGTGAAGAAGATTTTGTCATCACCTCCCTTGTTGAAATACTTTGATCCAGATCAAGATTTGGAGTTGCAGTGCGATGCTTCTGAAAAGGGATTAGGGGCCTTCCTAATGCAAAATGGTCAACCGATTGCCTACGCGTCGCGGTCTCTTACGAATACCGAACAACAGTATGCTCAAATTGAGAATTTGGCGCCGAGAAGTTCGAACAGTATGTTTATGGACGACGAGTGAAAGTTGAAACCGATCACAAACCCATTGAGAGCATTATGAAGAAGAATCTCCTCAGCGCGCCAAAAAGATTGCAACGCATGATGCTTCGGCTGCGGAAATATCATCTAGAGGTGACATACAAGAGAGGATCCCAGATGTATCTCGCTGATACCTTGAGTCGCGCATATTTGGATGGAAGCTGCAGCCCGCAGAAGTATGATGAATTAAGAAGTATTGTCGACCGGAAGTAGCATTGGGGAAGATCTAGAAAGCATAGATATGGTCTGTAACCTTCCAATATCCGAAGAGTCGTTAACGATGATCAAACAAGCTACAGAGGTAGATAACGACCTAGAAAAGCTGAAAACGGTTATCAGATAAGGATGGCCGGAGACGAATGATCAAGTACCACCAAGTTTGGCAGAGCACTTCAATATCCGTGATGAATTGTCAATTCAGAATTGTTTGATTTTCAAGGGAGAGCGGTTAGTCATTCCTTATGGAGTGCGATCACACATAAAAGCAAGAATTCATGCAAGTCATATTGGCGTTCAGGGGTGTCTAAGAAGTGCAAGAGACAGTGTGTATTGGCCTGGAATGACGAAACAACTGACCGAGTATATTTTGAGGTGTCCAACGTGCAACGCCTATCCACAAGGTCAGCAGAAAGAACCACTGATCAGTCACGCGATTCCCGAACGACCATGGGAAAAGGTTGGCAGTGACCTTTTTGAGTACGAAGGGGGTGACTTTTTAGTGACTATTTTTCCAATTTCTTTGAGTTGGATCAACTTAGAAGCAAGACCAGCAACGAGATCATTGCGAAGCTGAAGTCACTTTTTGCAAGATATGGAGTTCCTGATCAACTTATCACAGATAACGGACCACCATATAACTCAGAAGCCGTTCGTGAGTTTGCAAGGGAGTTTGAGTTCGAGCATATCACCAGTTCTCCTGGATATCCGAAGTCCAATGGAAAGTCAGAGAATGCAGTGCGCACGGCTAAACGGTTGGTGAAGAAAGCGAGGGAGAGTGGCAGAGATCCATATTTGTCGTTGTTAGATTGGCGTAACACTAGATATCAAGATTGTGGGACATGAGCTAGTGACTATAGTTAGATAAATTAAGTTATAGTGACTATTAGTTAGATAATTATGAGCTGACTAATAACTTTATTGTACAGTCTTTGTTGATATTTATTTTCGTATGAATGGTTATTTAGAATATTCATTATTGTCCTTGAGAAACTTTAAAAAAAACAATAATTAAAAAAAAAACACTTTACTATAGTAGAGAGAACTTTCTAGTTTAGAGAAGGAGGGATGTAATGATATATATGTATACAAATGTATATCCTTTTCCGGTTGCTATGTATATATATGAGCAACTATGTAGTTGTAGTTGTTAGTTGATAATAAAGTGATAGTTTCAAAAATCCTAGGAAATATCAGTCAGTAAAGTGGGTTTTAGATAACGTGGTTATAATGCGTGTGTATGGAAAATTGTGTGTCCGTCACACGATGTAGAACCACAAAATACAAATTAGCGTTTAGCCCGCTTGCAGGCCCAAGGGAACTGATAGTTGGCCTGCAAGCAAGGCCCGGTATTTTGTAAAACGCCCCTTTTCATAACACGCCCCATTCGCGCGTCAATTGTCAAAAAAGAACCAATGACAGCACC